CTTCGCTTTGCTTCGCTTCGCTTCGCCTCGCTTCCTCCTCCTCCTCCTCCTCCTGCTCCTCCTCCTCCTCCTCTTCCTCCTCCTCCTCCTCCCTCCCTCCCTCCCTCACCTCCTCCTCCTCCTCCTCCTCCTCCTCCTCCTCCTCCTCCTCCTCCTCCTCCCCCACGTCCTCCTTCTCCTCCTCCTCCTCCTCTTTCCTCTCCTCCTCCTCCTCCTCCTCCCTCCTCCTCCTCCTCCTCCTCCTCCTCCACCTCCTCCTCCTCCTCCTCTTCCTCTCCTCCTCCTCCTCCTCTTCCTTCTCCTCCTCCTCCTCCTCCTCCGCCTCCTCCCCCTTCTACTCCCTCCTCCTCCTCCTCCTCCTCCTCCTCCTCCTCCTCCTCCTCCTCCTCCTCCTCCTCTCCTCCTCCTCCCTCCTCCTCCTCCTCCTCCCTCCTCCTCCTCCTCCTCCTCCGCCTCCTCCTCCTCCTCCTCCTCCTCCTCCCCCCCACCTCCTCCTCCTCCTCCTCCTCCTCCTCCTCCTCCTCCTCCTCCTCCTCCTCCTCCTCCCTCACCTTCTCCTTTTCCTCCTCCTCCGCCTCCTCCTCCTCTTCCTCCTCCATCACCTCCCTCCTCCTCCTCCTCCTCCTCGTTTTCCTCCTCCTCCTCCTCCTCCTCCTCCTCCTCCTGGTGGCAGAGCACGCCCCAGTGGGCGCGAGCCGTGGTGCCAAGCGGTTTCCATCGCCAACCGACAGCCCGCGCTCGAGCAGCCGGGCACCGTCTTTTCTTTGGGTCAGCGGCTGGTGGCCGTGCCCGCCACGCTCCAGCCCTCGCCAGGGAGTGCGACGTCTCCCCGCCGCAGAGAGGCTCCGCGGGATGGAGCGCGACCTGGAGGCTGCAGCCAGGGTTACGTCGGGCATGTCCCTCCACAGGGGGGATCTTCGAGCATGCGCCGACATGTTCAAGGTACTGTTTTCTTCGACTGCTCTTGAGTATGTTTGGATTTTTTGATCCTTCTCCCAAGATCCGCCTGTAGGATGACATGCCCGACTTAAGCCAGGGCCCAGGAGGGGGCCCAGGAATGTCTCCATCGCTACACCTCCACCGTCGCCGAGAAGGCACAGGAGGTGCGCGAGGTCAACAGGACGTTCGCCGTCGCCCGCGCGCCGATGGGCGTCCGCGCGCGGCTGACCGTGCCGCAGAAGGCTCGCTCGTGGTCGCTGGCACCCGATAACACCAGGGTTCACTTCGGCTCCCTGCTGGCCGCACGCACGAATGTGGCAAAGTGGTCGACAGGGCGCTGCTCGCCTTGGAGGCCAACGACATCGACGTTGACGAAGGTGACCGAGCCAAGGTCGCGGAGTTCCAGGAGCACATCAAAACGCAAGTGGCCGAGCTCGTGCAGATGCATTCTGGCCAGTGCGCGGGGGAGCTCCAGGCCAGGCGCGACGAGGTCAACTCGCCCCCCCCAGCATACTTACATACTGTATGTGTGTCGGCCACGCAAGGGCGACTCGCACGCTCGGGCATCGGCGGGCCTGTCCCTCTACAGGAGGACTATTCAAAGCGAGTCAACAGTATTACAGGGACGACTTTGAGCTATTTTTTGATCGTTTTGGAGTATTTTTGACAATGTTTAATTTTTCCTCCCAAATCCGCCTGTAGGAGGACATTCCCGACCTAACAGTAATCTTAGCCTGTGATGAGTAAATTAGGACCCCTCCTCGGGGCTGATGAATCGACCCCGCGGGGTGCGAAACATTTTTTGTTCATCACGCGCGCCAGGGGGTCGTCGCGGGCGCCGCCGAGGGGATCGTGTGCCCCTCTGCACGGCAGCCTCAAAACGATTGCCTTCCGTATGAAGGTTTGTCATAAGGATAGTATACGTCTGAGTCAGGTCGATCACTGACGTGCCACAACCGTCGTCGTCGTCGTCGTCGTCGTCGTCGTCGTCACCCGTGGCCCCCATGGAGCATCTGCAGTGCATCGTCGTCCGCCGTCGCCGTCGCCGTCGCCGTCGCCGTCGCCGTCGCCGTCGCCGTCGCCGTCGCCTTCGCCGTCGCCGTCGTCGTCGTTGTCGTCGTCGTCGTCGTCGTAGGACATTATGACATGGGGGGTGGGTGAAACAGACAACGACGACCCCTTTCCGCCTGCCCCTGCCGCTCCTCCCCCTTCTTCCTTTTATTGTTTGTGGCCATGTCAGCGCCGCCCGCCAGCTGACGCGCCTCTTGCCCCAGCCTCCTTTCTCTTCGGGTCTCCTAGCCATTTTAGCCCAGCCGCCCTGCGAGAGCGGAGGCGCTGCTGTTCTCCTTCGCTGAAGCGACGCCGCTTGCGTCGCGCCTCTCTCCCTCCAGCTGTCGGCTGGGTGTTGTGGTTATTCATTGGCGCCGCTGCCGTGTGTTTCCATATGGTGTGTCCCCCCCCCCCGCCGCGACTCGCCCGAACAGGGGAATCATTTTTAATCGCGCGCCCTGCTTGCTTGTATTGGTCACAAGCTGACATTATGTAAGTCAGCGTGGGCTTCAATCGTTGTGTTCTAGCCTACCGGGTAGTGCAATCTATGTGGTGCAAGCTATGTACTGAGGGCTTCGCGGTGGGCGCTATTTGGTGCAATGTGCGTGATGCAGGCTATGTGGTGTGAGCTATGTTTTGCATGCGATGTGGTGTCACGTGTGTGGCGTCAACCGTGTGATGTAAAGTACGTGGTGCAATCTATGTGGTAGGAACTCGCGTGTCCATTTATGTGGTATGAACTATGTGGTGCCACCTGCGTGGTGCGGCCTAGGGGGTGCGAGCTATCGGAGGTTGGGGGGTGATATCGCAGTGTAACAGAGTCCCCCCCACCGGGAAATCGAGTTTCGAGTTCGTGCTCGTGCCGTGCGTGCGGACGAGGCGAAGCTGCGTGGGCCAGCGAGAGGAATTTACTCTGCTGTCGCTAGGGGTCCGCCAACAAATGTTTCCCCCCCAGCCTTGTCAAGCGGTAGCCCACGTTGTCCCGTCGGTTGCCCGCCGGTTGCTCATCATGGTTGCTCATCATGGTTGCTTATCATTGTTGTTCATCATTGTCCCGCCGTTTGCTCATCATGGTTGCTCATCATCGCCCATCAGCACCACGTTCATCACAGTTGTCGTCATGAGCCACCCCCCTCCCCCACCCCCCCACAACCTCCTTATCACCCGCAGGGTGGTCGTATAGGTATTTTCGAATCCACATGGTGCACTCTACGTTGTGCGATGTATGTGGCGAAATATAGGTCGCACGATATATGGAGACTGTTTGCAGTGTAAGTTACAGGGTGCGAGCTCTAGTGCCGCAGTTGATATGCGATACATTCCATGTTGTGTGAGCTATGTGGTGCAGGTTATGTGGTGTTATGCGTTGCGACGCAATGCCTAATAATGTCACGCAATGTGCGGCACAAAAGGAGTGCAACACTTAGCAGTGCAACGCATTGGTACATACTGCAAAGCAGTGCTAACCAACGCAACGCGATACAACGCAAGCCGATGTAAAACGAGGCGCCAACGCAGTACAAAGCAAGCCAACGCGAACCAGTGCAAACCAGTCATTGCCAAACAATGCGAAACAATGTCACGCAATGATAAACAATGCGAAGCCTTGCGTGCCAAGACAAACCATTGCGTTTGCACAAAAGAGCGACATGCAAACCAATTCGAATTCAACACAATGCGCAAGATTGCGAAACGGGCGGCGACAAGGCGGCGACGGCAGCCACCTGGCGGCCAGGACGGACCGCTGGCCCAAGAACCGGGCGGCGATTGGCGGCGACGACGCGGCGATGGCGGCCGCATAGCGGCCAGAGCGACCAGCAGACACAATTCCGTAGACGACACGTGAGACCCCCTGAACGCAAACACTGCTGGGGGACCGAGCTCCTTGGCGGGCGCTCTCTGGCCATACTGTTCGGGAGACGACATGCTACAGGAGGTTGCTAGATGCTGGGGTCGGACGTACGCCTCCAACAATGGCGCATCGTACCAGTACATTCTCATGCCTCCCTTCAGCGCCATGGGCCAGCGGCTCCAGGCGGAGCGGCCGCGCGCGGAGGCGCCCGCGGACGGATCGGATGAGGCCGCCCCTGGCGCCGCCCCGCCGCGCCCGCGGCCACCGCGCGGCAACCTGCGCCTGCCGCTTCCCCGCGTGCGACCGCGGCCCCCGCCCGCGGCTGCGCGCGGGGGCCCCCGCCGCCCCAAGAGCGCTGCATCCTCTGGGCGGCGGAGCGCCGCGCGCACAGCGCTCGGGGCCCTGGCCCGTGCGGCGCGTGGCGCTCCGCGGCCCCCGCGTCGGAGTGCGTCCGCGGCGACGGCCCCCGAGCCCCTTCCTTCTCCCGCCCTCTGGTTTCCTCGCCGCCCTCCGCCGTTCTCGCTCTCCTCATCCTTTCCCTTGGCGGCCTGCTGCGCGCAGCCACGGCACATGCACTTTTTCACACCATGAAGGGCCGTTTCAGCAGGGGAGGTCGGCCGCGCGCCGCGCGCCGCGCGCCACAGCGCCATCAGCGCCGCGCGCCGCGCCCGCTTTGAGCTTCTCGGATTCCATGTGGATCGCCCCTGCCGAGCCGTCTGTGCGCTCGAGGGCCGTGCGGCCGTTCACCGCTGTTGGCAGACTGGTCTTCCAACTCCGCGGGTGGAGAACCTGTTCGCCATTGTGCGCCTTCTCATCCTCTCCCCTCACATTTCTCCCGGGGACCGTCATCTCATCCCGGGTCGTTTCCTAATTGCCCCAGGTGCCCGACACGGGCCCACAAAGGGGGTCCAGACTGAAGGGACAAGTCAGAAGTCGTGATGTTTGTGTGGCGCGCCCCCCCCCCCCCTTCTGCGTGGCACCGCCGCAAGCATCGCCCCCCCTCCTCTTTGCTTCGGTCGGGCATGTCCCTCCTACGGGCTGATTTTGGAGGACAAGTTATGAATAGTCAGGACATCTTCGAAGATAGTCAAGCCTAGTCGAAGGCGTCGTCCCCTATACGCCCGACGTAACTCGTTGCCCTCTCCTTCCGCCTCTTCCGAGCCGTGGCGCAGGCGTTCTCTCCCGCGCCGGCAGCGCCCCCCCTGCGGTCCGCGCGGCGGCGGCGCCGCCATGGCGGCCATGGCGGGGCGCGCTGCTCCGCCTGCGGTGGGCCGCGCGCGGCAGGACGGCCGTTACCCCCGCGCTTTGCGCCCCCCCCTCCCCGCTCTGCGGCTTCTCCTCCTCCACCTCCTCCTCCTCCCCCTCTCCTCCTCCTCCTCCTCCTCCTCCTCCTCCTCCTCCTCCTCCACCCTCTCCTCCTCCTCCTCCTCCTCCTCCTCCTCCTCCTCCTCCTCCTCCTCTCCTCCTCTCCTCCTCCTCTCCACCTCCTCCTCCTCCTCCTCCTCCTCCTCCTCCTCCTCCTCCTCCTCCTCCCTTTCCTCCTCCTCCTCTTCCTCCTCCGCCTCCTCCTCCTCCTCCTCCTCCTCCTCCTCCTCCCCTGCTGCTCCTCTGGCTCGGCGGAGGTGCGCGGCCCTGCCTCCCCCTCGCGCGCGCTCCCGGGGCTCGACCCCGCGCCCTCCCTGCGGCGGGGGCGGGCAGGGCGGGGGCCTGCGATTACCAGCCTCGAACGTATCCCTATCCCTAAGATTGACACGCCAAAAGGCGATGGCAATCTTAGGGATTCGCCCTCGAAGAATAAGGTAATCCCTAATATTGGCATCGTGATGAGGAGGTGCCCAGCATAGGGATAGGGATATGTTCCAGGCTGGTAACCTGCGAGGCTGGCCCCGAGGGGGGGCGGAGCCCTGGTCGGCCCCGCAGGGGCGGGGCCCTGCCCCAGGCAGTCAGCACGAGCAGCGCGCGCGGCTCCTCGTGTCCTTAGACGCTTCGCGCAACCCCACCAGCCCATCCTAAGAAACGGTAACCGGGCGATGTTGCGCTGCTCAGGGATGTGGGACCTCTTGGGGCCTCTCGGGGGCCGCTCGGGAGCCCTTTGAGGGCGTCTCGGGGGCCTCTTGTGGCCGCTCGGGCGCTTGTTGGGGTCATCTTTGGGCCCTCTCGGGGCTCTTTTGGGGGCCTTGGAGGTCTTCTTGGGACCATCTTCGAGGATATCCATCCAAAAGGGTGTGATTTGCGTTCCCTCTCTGAAGCTCCCCAAGGTTGCCTCTTGGGGTCCACTTGGGGCGCTCTTGGGCACTCTTGGGGCCGTCTGGGGGCCATCTTGGGTCTCTCTTGCAGGGAGGAGCGCTGTGAGTACCTAGCCCTTTCTGATGAAGGAAGAATCGAGAGGAACATGAAGTGAGCTCAAACACAAATGGATGGCATGGCACTCCCGTGGAACATCCTCTGCGCTCATTTTGTAATCCGCTAAAACAAAGATTCCGAGTGTAAGTCGCCCACAAGGGAAACCGATTGAAAAGTCGCACAATAGAATTCTATCTGTTATCCATGACAGAAATCAAATTGTGAATCGCGCGCAAAAGGATTTCTCATGAAAGGGAGTCGGAAAAGTTTCGGACCTCCCGGAAACAATTTAGCACAACGACAAACCGACGCTGCTTGCCGCCTCGCCACAATAACATCGAGAAAGGCGTAGTTTTTTTGATTTTGTATTTTTCTCCAAATAGGCTTGCCCTGTAGGAGTTCTAACTCAAGCCCTACTAATTGGTCCGTTGCCCCCCCTGATTCTTATGCCCCCCCCTAACTCCTATGGCACCCCTCTCCCCCCCCTTTCGCCAATGGCCCCCCCCCATATTTCCAATTGCACCCCCCAGCTATTTGCAATGGCGAGTCCTATGGATTCCTATTGATTCCTATGAGTCGCTTGCCCTTGCTTGCTCTTGCGTGCTCCTGCTTGCTTGCTCTTGCGTGCTTGCTATCGCTTGCTTGCTCTTGCTTGCCCTTGCTTGCTTGCACTTGATCGCTGGCTCTTGCCTGCTTGTTATTGCTCGCTTGCGCTTGCTTGCTTTCGCTTGCTAGCTGGCGCTTGCTTGATTTTGCTCCTCCCGTCCTCCTCCCATCCTGCTCCCGTCCTCCTTTCGTCCTCCTCCCATCCTCCTCTCGTCCTCCTCCTGTCCTCCTATCTGTTTGGAGTCAACGCTGGCTGATCTTTCTTCTTTCCTTTCGCTTCTTTCTCGGGAGGCCCAGAACTTTTTCCGGCTCCCTTTGAAAGGCATTTGTATTTTTACATGTTGATTTCTTTGGTGTCGATTAAACGTCGACTGACTGCGTGCGGCTTTTTTTGAATCGGTTTTCCTCTCGTGGGCGGTTTACAACTTGATTTTCTGGTGTGTGGATTACAAGTCTAATCCTTTTGTGCGGCTTTACACTCGGGTTCCTTCCTTGAGGGGTGTACATTTCGAAGTATTCTTGTGTGGAGGTGCCTCCATCCCTTACAGGATTCTATGACAGGCAGCTCCGCATTTAGTCGGGTTCTGTCAGACGTGATGGTAGCCATCTCCAATCGGATTTCGTGAGATGTGGATCCATCCCTAATATCAGCCAGCGTTGACTCCAAATAGATTAGACGACTCAAATCCAGGAATCAGAGGAATCGAGCATACTTGGAATCCGCAACTCAGCAAGCAAGCAAGCGTGCAAGTAAGCAAGCAAGCGCGCAAGCAAACAAAGCAAGCATACATCAGGGGGGTGTCATTGGAAAAAGGCGGGGGATAGGCATAGGCATATGCATAGCCATGAAAAGTAGGGGGGGTGGGGCATAGGAATTTTTTTGGGGGGGCAACGGACCAACTAGAATTAGTAAGGTTTGAGCTGGGACTCCTATAGGGCAAGCCTATTTGGATAAAACAATTCTTTTGGAGGTGGTTCCGTTCCCACATGGGTTCAAGTAGAGGTAGATCTGCCTGCAATAAACTTAGATTCCAGGTGGTTCCATCCTTCATCAGGTTTTAGTAGAGGTGAAACCGCATTGAATGGATTTCTAGTGGAGGTGGATCCACTTGTAATAGGAACTTATTGCGCGTGGCTCCTTCATTAACCGGGTTCCACTAGAGGTGGATCCACCTCCTGACAGGTTTCCATTCGTGTTTTTTCGTCTTTCATAGGACTTGATGACGGACATATTCATTGTTATTTGTTAGAGGGTGGTCCACCATAACATACTCCCAGTAGCGATGGTTCCACTTTTAGTTAGATTATTTTCGAGGTGGCTCCATCCCTCATATGATCCTGTTACAGGTGGCGCCAAGCGTGATAGGGTTCCCTAACATATTCTATTACACAATCTCATGAGATATGTAATCCTGCCTGAACGGACTACAGGAGAGATGGTTTCATTCCCAAGTGGATCCACTCATTATAAACTTACATTCCAAGTTGTTCCATCCTTACTAGAATTTTATTCGAGCTGGATCCACCTCAATCAGGCCCCTATCAAGGATACGTCAACCCGTAGTAGCATCCGATCAAAGAATGGATGCGCCTCTGCAGGAATCTTATTGGACGTGGATCCACTTCCAAAGGAATCTTCTTATTTATGGAGCCACGTGAACTAGAATTTCATTGACGGTGGTTCCACCCTCCGTAGAGTCCCAGTAGCAGTCGACCTACTTCCAACATGATCGTATCAGGATGGAACCGGTGGGAATACTATCTTTTCAGAAATGGGCCCATAGCTATTTGAATCGAAGTGGGAATGCAACCACCTCGAGAAGAAATATATAAGGGATGGGGCCACCTCTGATGAGGTGAGTGGGGGGTGGATGAGATCCACCTGTCACAAATCTGATGAAAAAGGCGGGGCCGCCTGTAATAGAACCCTTCTAGGGATGGAGACACCTCCACGCATTAGAGTTCAACGTGGAACTTCCCCACACAAGGAACCTGAATGTAAAGTCGCGAAACGGGAGTCTATGTGTAACCCACTAGGAATCATTGTAGTTCGTCCATAAAAAAAGGAATTGATTGACAAACTGCACCAAGGGATTTTCAGTGCAACCCACGCGATCGAACGCAATTTGTAAGCCGCGCCACGTCGGATAGACGTCGATAAGGGAAGGAACCATTTACAATCCTTAACAGGATCCCGTCACGTCTTGGAGCCACCTGCAATACAATCTTTTGGGGGATCGAGCCGCCTCTAATATAATCGAAGCGGGGATGGACCCGTCGCTAACGACATCATATGAGAGGTACATACAGCCCCAACAAAATCTCATGAAGGATAAGACACCCCGTCGTAAAATAAGATTCGGGCAGGACCCGCCCTTGACATAATCTTATCAGAGGTGGGCCCACCTCTACTGGAATCCTGTTAAGTATGGAGCCAACTGTAGTAAGGTTCCAATTAAAACGGTGGATGGGAATCTAGCGCAATTTTTCCGAGGTGGATCCGCTTCCACTCAGGTCCTATTAAGGATGGAACCAGTTGGGATATAAGTTTACGACAGGTGTTTTCAATCATATGTGAATCCGAATGGAAATGGAGGCGCGTCTAAAAGGAGTGCATTAAGGATGGATCAACCTCTCATGCTCTTCGAGTAGACTTTGTTGCGATCCACCTGTAGCAGCATCTAATTATTGGCGACGCCGCTTGGAATCTAATCCTTGAAGGGATGGAAGCGTCCCCGCACACTATTGTTCAGTTTGTAAACCCTTCGCAACAAGGGTCTCGCTTGTAGAGTCGCACAACGACATTGTACGTGTAACCCACAGGAACCAATGTGTACACCGCCCACCATATGAAAATCAGCACAGACTCATTCCATGTGTAATCCATAGTTGAATTCGTTAGGTAGTAATTCGCACCGCCTGTGATGAATTTCGATGGGGCAAGGAACCGCTTGCAGTGCAACCCTTGACAGATATTTATTAGACGTGGAGCCACTTGAAATAACATCGTATGAGGGATGTATCATGAAGGGTGGCTTCATTGCTAATGTAGCCGTATTATATTTGTATCTTTTGTACATACTTTGTAAGCGTGATGAGACAATTTGTATTCAAATCCCGTAGGATAATAACCTTCATATACCATAACCTTATGAGAGGCGGATCCCCCTTTGCTGGAGTCCCCTTCGCGCTCTTTGTGTCCGATGATCAGATGAGAAGGACGCAAAAACTACACTTTCACCTCGTCCGTTCTCGATCCTTTCACTTTCCTCTCTTCTTCTCTTTCCCTCATCAAACAGGCTCTGGTGTTCACAGCGTTCCCCTCTCCTCTCTCG